CAGGTCGGTTGAAGAGCGGCAAGACTAAAAGCAACAAAACCAAGGTCCGAAGGCGAAGTCGTACTGCTGACTGTACAGAGGTGTGACAGCAGTAAGGTGTTTCCTTCAGACAACCAGCATGACAGCGATGCTGCCTTTCCACAAGGAGGGGTGGGGTTAGAAAAGGTCGACCCTAAAAATGCACACCTCGCCTTATCCCACGGATATCCGTCTCCGGCGGTAAGGACTCAACAAGTACGGAGCTAACACAAAAATCACTCATAAAAAGGTCGTATGTGACCGACCTCAAGCAGCTGTCCCTTGGGCACTGCGGTCACGCTCTCAGGTCACTATGACCAACTCTAATCCAATTTCCTTTTCAGGTACCTCCAGAAGAACCCTTCCACGGTGTGGGCAACCGGGAAGTGATAACCGCCCTCATACCTCTAACAGCACTCAAGACCACTGTATTCATAGTCAACCTCCCTCTTCAATTCCTATTATTCCTCCTACATCGACTTTATACACTAAACTTCCTCTTTTAGCTTCCTCCTCAAGTGTCACCACAGCCAACGATTCTAGTGCTCAAAACACTGTCCCAGGTCTACTGAAACCTCGCTCCAAACTATACATTGGAGCCTTCAACGTACGCACACTATGCCAAATCGGTCAGCAGGCTTCCTTGGCTAAAACCTTAGAATCTCGTACCATTGATGTATGCTGTGTCTCCGAAACACGCATACAGGATCCTAGTGTGGTCATTCACTTGACCTCACCTCGGCAAAACGGAGAGCCAACGAGATACACCCTCCGTGTATCTGGCGACCCGATGGATAGTTCTCGTGGACTGGCAGGTGTAGGCATAGCACTTAGCATGAGGGCGGAACAAGCGCTATTAGAGTGGATCCCCGTTAACAGTCGTCTATGCGCTGTTCGGCTAAACGGCTCCGTAAGAACTCGGAAGGATAGGGACACATGTCGTTGCCTTTTCGTCGTTTCTGCCTACGCTCCCACTGACTGCAGTTCTGATGAAGTCAAAGATGAATTTTACAGAAAGCTGTCTGAACTTCTTCAGAAAGCTAAACGTTCAGACATAGTACTCGTAGCAGGTGACTTTAATGCCCAGGTAGGTAGCTTAAACGAAACAGAAAGACATTTAGATTGGTATTTTAGTATTTCGGCACAGCGAACAGATAATGGTGATCGTCTGCTGCAACTGTGCCCAGACAATCGTTTATTTTTAGCAAACACAAATTTTAAGCATAAGGAGAGACATCGTCTAACATGGCGACCCCCTGCACCAAACCAACGATGGACTCAAATAGACCATATTGTCATCAGTCATCGTTGGAGAGGGTCAATAGAAGATTGTCGCTCATTCTGGGGTACCTGCTTGGACTCTGATCATGCCCTAGTACGAGCACGCATCTGCTTGCGCCTCACTGGACGCAAAAGAGCCACACAAAAAAGACTCATTAGAACCGAATTGAGTAATGAGAAAGCCAAAAGTAGGTTCCAGGAACAACTGAGGTCACACTTAGGTAGTTCTGAAAACGAGACTGACCCAGATGTTGCTTGGAAAGTTATACAAGCAGCTGTGGAAACAGCAGTGACATCTACCAGTGATTTAAACCAAATGGTTACAAAAAACCAATGGATTTCGTCAAGGTCTATTGCACTGATAGATTCTCGCAAACTCATCCCATCAGGTTTTGAATACGATGAAGAGCGTAAAGAAATCAAATCTAGATTAAGCAAAAGTCTAAGGAATGATCGTGAGCAGTGGTGGGCAACGAAAGCAAAAGAGATGGAAAAGGCGGTGGCTATAGGGAACACAAGACAACTCTACAGACTAATAAAAGAAACTGGAATTAATAAATCAAGTGTAAGTCAGACCATTTCGGAAAAAGACGACACTCCCAGTCCAGACGCTTAGAACGATGGGCGGAACACTTTAAGGAGCAGTTTAGCTGGCCTTCAGCTACTCTACAACTACCCTCTATTCCTAGACAGTGTGAATGGAACATTGAAGTAGGTCCTCCAACTCTAGCTGAAGTTCAAAAGGCTATAGCTAATCTGAAACGAGGAAGGGCAGCTGGTCCAGATGGATTGGCCCCAGAGGTCTTTAAGGATGGTTGTCTAGTCTTAGCGATTAGGTTGACTAATATTTTAGCTAAAATCTGGGAGTTAGACGTTATTCCATCTAACTGGTCACAATCACTTAACGTCCCAATATTTAAGAAAGGGTCAAAATCATCCTGTGACAACCACAGAGGGATTAGTTTGACTAATATAGTATCTAAAATACTAGCTTCGATAATTTTCGGACGCCTAACTAAGACTCGTGAACTGCAAACACGTGAAAATCAGGCTGGCTTCAGACCTGGTCGTGGCTGCATCGACCACATATTCACCATTCGTCAGGTTCTAGAACACAGGCATACTTATCGGCGTCCGACAATGGTGTTATTCCTTGACTTAAAAGCAGCGTTTGACTCTGTTGACCGAGAGGTTCTGTGGCAGTGTCTGTCATTGAAAGGCGTACCTCAGAAGTACATAAACCTTGTGAAGGCTCTTTACTCGAACACTACTAGTCGGGTCAGAGCCTATGGCGAACTGTCATCTGCTTTTGCAACCTCAAGTGGCGTCTGTCAAGGCTGTCCACTTTCTCCTTTTTTGATTAACTTTATCATAGACATCCTGATGGAAATAACGCTCTCATCGACTGAATTCTCGGGTATTGATCTCCTACCAGGAGGTCCACTTATTGACTTAGAATACGCAGATGACATAGTTCTGTTTGGTGAAGACGCTGATGAAATGCAGAGTATTTTGGTAGCACTGAGCAACAATGCTAGAATGTTTGGGATGCGCTTTTCTCCCTCTAAATGCAAGTTGTTGATTCAGGACTGGTCTGCGTCAACACCTGAACTAAGGATAGGGGGTGAAGTAGTCGAACGCGTTGACAACTTCACTTATCTTGGAAGTCTGATCAGCCCTAATGGGTTGGTGTCTGACGAAATCTCAGCACGGATTCGAAAACCTCGCTTGGCCTTTGCCAACTTACGTCATTTATGGCGAAGGCGAGATATCCGTCTATCAATTAAGGGACGAGTATACTGCGCGGCAGTTCGTTCCGTTCTACTATACGGCTGCGAAACATGGCCTTTAAGAGTAGAAGATATTCGTAAGTTACTAGTATTTGACCACAGGTGCCTTAGAAATATTGCGGGTATCTGCTGGGATCACCGGGTAAGTAATAGTGAGGTTAGACGCAGGGTACTAGGGAATGATGGTAAATCAGTTGATGAGGTTATGAATCTTCATCGACTGAGATGGTTGGGACACGTGTTGCGTATGCCTGAACACCGATTACCACGACGCGCAATGCTGACTAGTGCAGGGGATAATTGGAAGAAAGTTAGGGGCGGCCGAACCAAAACGTGGCATCAGTGCTTGAAGTCACTAACTTCTGTTCTGAGCCATGTTGGGAGATTCAGACTGCCTGGTTGGGGTCCGCGTGACTATCGTAACCAATGGTTGGAGACTCTTGGTGACATGGCTCAGAATCGATCACAATGGCGTCGGTGTATACACTCTCTGTCTTCCCTTAAATTAAGAGATTAAAATCGCTTCATATCTGTCTAGGAACTAATTCTTTCTTCCTTTACTATCTCCTTATACACAATCTTTCTTCTATATATTACCACCACTGAATTAACTACTCCTATGAATCCGGTGTTCATCTTGTTGTGCTAATGCGGTATGGCAACTTGGACCGATGCATATACGTGCCTGGTCCTACGTTGCAGCTGACTGACTGACTGACTGACTGAGAAACAAGTAGTCTGCCCAAAGCTGCAATAGACAGTCATCGTTATCCGACCTACAACCAATAAGTCCCCATAGGCTACACAAACGACTTTTCCCTTTGCCTTGACACCCAACCTATGCACCCAAACCTCCACTTAGCACTATAATATCTGTTGGACAGGCTTTCTGGAGATCATTTGACTGGTGGCATCATTTATCTTTGATTGTATCCGGGTTGCAACCTGTCGAACGTGGGTGGAGATAACGAAAATTTATCGCTACTCATACCTACTTTTTCTCACTTTGAAGGAGCTTTCTAATCTGAAAGCGTATAATCGACCGTTAGTGGGAATCTAATCTATTAGTGTTGCCTCAACTGTAGCGCTTGGTTTGAAGTAACAGCTGAAGAGCTAATCTATAGCGCCTCATTAGTTCTGAATATGGGTCTCGGATATACAGCAGACATCGACGTCAGGACTTGATGAAGACATGACCAACCCTAGCTGTCGTTCGATCTGTATCTGTGTGCGAACGTTGAGGGATGCCTGTTTGAATGGCATACGTGGTTTCAAAAAGGCTGATTGAGAATTTGTATTCGATGACGGCTTTCAACTTCCGACTACCACGACTTGAGATCTTTCAAGTTACGATTATCAGTGAATCTGTGTAAGGGCTGAGATACTACCCATGTACCCAGACCGAAGGTGGTCTGCCTTAGAGGACACTCCCGAACCTTTGACCTAGGGATCTAATTTACAAGGGAGTGAGGCAACGCTGGGAGATGCAATCCTATCGTAGCTGACCGTCAGCAATAGGTTTGTACGCCATTTGTTCCCTCAGGATCCTGTAGCGAATGTGGACCGTTAGTTTGGAATTAGGGCTTCCCAACTCGCCTAAGTGGAACTTCCATACCCACCAGTCCTGTTTAAGAGCCGAACATTGACTTTTCGTCCTTTTAATTTCGTGAGTGAAACCCCCGCCGTGAGAAGGAAGGAGAGTATGACCTCTGTGGCGGTGGCTATAAACGAGTGGTGGTATGAGAGTACTTCAAGAGACAGAGAGAGCGGACTCTTCACATTCAGTCGTACCAAGGTATTTGGGGACCGTTTAGTAAACGTGACTAAATAAGGTAAAAATATAATATTCAGAATTCTGTTAACATAGTTTTTTAAGTTGCCTATTAATGAGTACTTTGGATATAGACTAACCTTGAAGCAGGGCTTTTTGACGAGATTCCTGGGTAATAACAGTATTTAATTGTATGGTAAAAGCACATTCACTAACTGATTGGACTCTGTCTTCCCCAGAACCATCTTTGCATGGATCTAAAAAGGAAATTACCGCCTTTCGAGCAGAAACAAAAAGTTCAGGTCTGCCAGCAAGATCGACGAGAAGATAGTGATTTCCTACATTTGCTTTGTTATGAGAATTCTTTGAGGTCATGTTTTGGTGCATATTATTTTGCTGGATTATATTCGCCACTTGACCAAGTTTTACATTTAGTTCAGGAAGCTATAAAATGGAAAGATTACATAGAGGGAATCAAATAGCATAAAAATGGATTAGATGTTTACATCTAAAATAATAGCAAACTTGTCTATGCCATATCTACCATGTATTAGTTTGCAGAAGAAATTAAGTACATTATTGTAACTAATTAACAAAAGCGATGAGTTCTGAAGAATTTACTTATGACTGTTTTATAGTTAGCATCAGTTAAACAGAACTAAGTAACTGATTGTCTATTGGATAATTTGTACATATACGTTGACATAATTGTCAAGAATTCAGTCTAGCAGTTCAATCACAATTTCATTGCTATATTAGCAATCTACAAAACCTTCAGTCTCCTATCGCTTATGTCTAAAATTACTTCGAATTATCTTCAATTTTATTGTATTATACTTTAGCGCACTGTTTTATTGGTCAGTTGTGATGCTGTTTTGTTATTATTTCACTTAAAAACCAGTGCTAATAATCTGGTTAAATTAGCACTAAACAACTGACCAATCGTATCACTGTTCATCATCAACATCAACAAGATTTTTGTATCCGTGCTGAGAACGATGTAATTAATATATTCATTTTCTGCTTACTTCATGAGGTCATTATAGTGAATGACTGTCGAATTAAGCATTTTCATATAAAAAGCTAACGGGAATATGATATAAACCCTGTTCTTCTATTAGTACACTTTATGAAAATAAGTAAAGATATACATTTCTCTACTTTATTAAAAAATATGATGGAAAAATGACACCACCGTATATATAGTAAACTCTTCATATAAGTGACACCTCTGCAAATATACCATCTAATGGAAAAATATGGGATTTAGAAATATGAAGTGAATAATATCTTATACATGTTGCATGTCAATAACAATACAATAATGTGAACAAAGCAAGAGCAAAATCGTTTGCGGAATACAATGAATTTATTGTACCTCGTCGCCTCCTCATCAGCGACATACTAATTATTAGCATGATGTTCAATTCGAAAAATGAAGCGTCAATAATGAATAGGTTGTTTGTAACGCAAACGAAGTTAGGAGTTCAACTTTTTAACTGTTTACGTTATAACCTTAAGCTATTTAAAATAATATCACTATGCGATAATGAAAAAATTGGGTTCCTAAAAAATGTAGAATGAAAGTGAGGATGTGTGAGTTTAGCTCACTAGATTGTGACTACAAGGGGGGGGGACAAATACATTTAATTCGCTTCTGTTACTAAGGCAGATGAGTGCTAACCAATAACTCCTTGAGAATACAAAGGTCAAGCTTAAGCCTTATGACTGCTATGGTCCTCGAGAATCCTAAGATCGGACTGGACTATTAACTAATCACTTTGTATAAGTTCATTGCGTCAACGTCATGCCATATGTCCAGCTGCTGATGCGCTATTGAACTAAGAAGGTCATTTTGAGTTTGGAGATGTAGATTCATTGGAATACTTTGAGCGAAACGAGTGAATGCTCAGTTTTCTGTGCTTCCATATACATGCAAAGCGATATATGTAATCGGAAGTGATATGACGGATAGTTTTCTGCTTTTTGTTTATACGACTAAGCGGAGTGTTGTGTATGAACGACATTTTTTGTATAATACTAGTGGCTGGTCGAGTCTATGTACACTGGTGAAGCGAATGACAGTAATTAAATTTTTCCACTCCCAAAGTGCAAACTAAAGAATATACCTTCAACCGAAAGCGACCGAGAACTAAATTGTGGGTTAATAGGTCAACATTTGTGAACAGAGTAGAATCAAATGACCGGATATCTTAAATTATTATAAAACTATATACTTACCATAATGTCGAAAAATATCTGTGGAGTCATTCTTAAACTTAAACGCTGGACTAAGGAGTTTTGAAAACGTGACAAGATATTCTGAAATTCTTTGTTCATTTTATCCTCTTTTACAAGTGATAAAATTTCTGCATTGATATCATTCCGATCAAATTTTTTAACGTTTTTCACATGTGCCCCTTTAGATTTCCAGCGTACTGTTGGGTGTAAAACCCAATTGTATGAAAATACTGGAGCAAAGATACTTCCTTTCCAAATCAACGATTGAGAAACGCTGACTAAGGAAGAGGTAACCTTTTGAAGCAACAACAGCCGATTCATGATTATTCAGATACTTTATTCTATGCAGTCCAGGATTGTAGACAGCAAAATTTATCCAACTCGTTATAGATGAAAACCACACGAATCAATATATATCGATGAGTCAACAACAGCAAACACTGAAAAAAGCAATGAAAACGAATGTGGTAGAATGCCAAACAAGTAAGAATGAAGCCATGTGAAAAACTTTGAAACAAACTTATATCCAGCATCTAAATCGAATACGTATAGGCCAATCCAAGACTCTAATCAGTCTTAGTCAACTGGATTGATCTACTAAAGCCACATGGTTTGCTGCACTTGCATTAATTATTTATTTGAACACATAAACACTGGTACAAAGTGGCACCAGATGAGCCACACAACAATAATGAGAATGTGAAGTGATAAAAAATTTAAGGTGCGTATAAGAAAAAGGGGAACAATAACGAACAGAAATTAGTGTATGATAGTGAAGTGGTAATAATGGGAGAGGCAGTTTAATTAGCAAAAATACAGCTAGAGAGAATTCTAGTTGAAGTTACGTCCTCTTTATGAAGTAAAATAAAATTACTGCAGGATCGCCACTGGCTTCTATTCTGAGCTACATCCGATAACGTCTCTAGCCAGTGTTGCACAATCTCTAGGACTTCAACTAGTGAGTCGTGAAGGACCGATAGAAGCCAGTCCTGTGCGACTATCATACACTGACCACCTCTCCACCTTTTCCAACCAATCCCAGCGTCGGCAAACGATGCACGACGTGGAATTCTCTGGGACGACATTCGTAGCTGTGCCCGAATCTCTGCCTTACTAACATGGTGTTACCGCCAAATATCAGCAATCCTTCGTAGCCAATGATGACCAAACACAGTCGTCTAACATTCTCCACTCGGAGAGGCCAGGTTTCACAAGCATAGAGCAAAACTGCTCTCATCGATGCGTTGTAGATCCGACCTTTTACAGCAAGGCTAACATCACGAAGGCGCCGAAGATGGCTCTGATTGGCGTAGGCCGCTCTGGCTTTCATTATACGTGAATAGATCTTATCACTTACGCAACCACCAGCACTTACACAGATACTCAAACACACGAACTTCACGACTATTTCTATCTGCTCACCATCCAGGGTGAGCACAGGATTAGAATCCTGCCAGTCTTGTAGAAGTACTTTGCACTTAAAAGGTGCAAAGCACATACCAGACCTACGGACACTAATTGCCAACTGATTAAATGCGGATTGCACGATTTAGGTATCATCGCACAGTAAGACAATATCACCCGCATACTCAAGGTCGAGAAGTTTCTCCATGCAACCGATCCACGCCGCCATTACTTACATCCATCAGAGCTGTTTCAAGAACGTCGTCGATAGCAAAGTTGAAGGGGAATGGTGAGATTGGGTAACCTTGTCTAACCCCACCGCTTAAATAGATTGCATTACGAGATAATGATTATTATTGAAAATAAAGATATAACTAAATTAAAAGGAGACATAATATATGGTATAAAGTTTGTGAGAATGAAATACTTTGGTTACAATCGCTCTGTAAGATTAAATGTTTGTGAGATATCAGTTCCTCTATATTGATACCTGGTGAATGGGCTTTCAACTAAATCAGAAAAAGGGGACTGAGTAACTAAGAAAGCAAAAGAGGAACCATTTCAACCACTATACAGCCTCAAACATTATTCCACGACAAGTGAATAACTTATACCTAATAGTTTTCTAGCATGTAGATATGTACATGGGAGGGTCGCAGTCACTTTTAGCTACTCATCAAAGAATTTGCTGAATTCTCGTATTCGTGTTCAATCGAATTAACGGGCTGTCAATTCCATAAAAATGATGAAAATCATATCACAGTTCATAATGGCCACTGAAATGTTGGCTTAGTGATCAAGATACATGACTTGAAGTACTAGACAGGCTACTAGTTAGATTAGACAGTCTAGTGCTGTAATAACCTCTCACACGAAAATATGGCAGGCTCGCCAATCTAACCCTGTGTCAACAGTAACAAAGGGAATACGACGGATCAAGAAACACTTGTTTTATAAAAATTGTTGGCAGAAAAACTAGTAAGTACCCTGTCTGGATGATGATGTTCGTTTATACAACTACGACTGTAGTTTAATTATTATAATTAATTACCAGATGAACGAACAACTCGAGAGAACGCTAGCTAGTTCTAAAGAAGAAGAATTTAAGAGAATGACAATACGTTCTTAGGGCCTAATAATATAAAATATGAAAGTATGACATTTTAGAAATATATTCAGGATCAAGTTATGCAGCTAGTGCTGACTTCCTTTTCATTCTGTCTTCTAAAGGCATATCACGCTACTTAATAGAAGATAACATTGCTTTTCGGCATTGTCGTCGATCCTCTTACCTATTCCTATCAATCTTTTGACCTGATCTCTTTTAGAGTTATCTGTTAAGATACTACAGATAAATTCTCCAAGCTTTTACTAACCATGAGCGTGTCTAATTTTGGGATCAGGATCGTTTGACTCTAGCAAATTACTCACAATAATATTCGATGAGAATAAAACCTTCTCAACAACGCCAGGATGGAGCTGTCTTACTATTAGACTTTTGTAGTGCATTTTGTGACTCAGAATGAGAGTTCACCAATGACTTGCCAACCAAGTGTGTACCGCTTATAGCTTTTTATCCTTTCACTTCTTTTTCTCTGTACTGTCGTCCATTTTCCACATCTCAGACACATCGAGACTATCAAGAAAGGTTGACCTTTTATTCAGGTCTTCAGTTCCTATTGAAGATGCATGACTACCTATGTTAATATCAAATGACACTTCACTCCTCGTTAGTATTAACGGAAATTTTACTTTTCCGGCAATCACAGTCGAGTGTTTAAGGCGTCCCGTAACAATACGTACTACATTGACACAATCTTCACTGTCAGTACTCGTGTTATCAGCGAAGCCACCATCATTCTTCTTACATGCCAAATCTAACAGACTCATAGCACGTTTAGCTGTAGCGTTCTGAATCGAATATACGCATTTGTCCCTAATGGCCAACAGTTCAAACTTGGCTAAGAAGAAATACCATACTCTCTGTTAATTGTTATTCGCAGCTCTGTTTAAAAATGGATATCTTGATTACGTAAATTCATGGTTATTGTCTAATTCAATTATCATATTCAGGATAAACGCACAAGTCAATTCCAGTAGTAATCAAGGAACACAGCGGGATGGCGCGAAACATTTTCCGCAATGATGCTTTTGGACAGTAGAGTAGGAAACATACTAGAGAAATCATCAAACTGCATCACGAGGCAAGCCCTATCTTGAAATCCCGAAGAGAACTGGAAAAGCAGAATAACACATACTAAACTCGTAATTCAAATATTTTTATCTGACCAGATTGGCAGCTTGAGGGTCGGATCAAATGGCTAAGTTTGATGTTGGATAAGTTAATTCCCAATATCACTGTTGTCACAGAAACTTGAATCTGTCTTACCCTTATTACAGGCCACATTTGTATTAGAAGTGATAGGGTTAAAATTCGCAAAAAGTGAAGCATAGTGTTATGGTTTGGTGATCCCTTTCGTGTACAATCAATCATATCATAGGTTAATGTTAGTGGTGCATATCAGGTAGTGTGTTGTACATTAAGTCTAGGAACCGGTTAGTGGCTATTGGAGGGATATATCGTAGTCCATATTGTCTTACCCCCAGATGCCCTGATACGGCCGAGAATGGAGAGAGTCCGCTCTCCCTCCCAAATGCTCTCATATGGCCACACATATACAGCCTCTGACTGTTATGATTTTGATGTCCGGCTTACGATCACGTGACTTATACACCAATCAGAATACGGCTTATACGAATATTCGCACTATGACAAGGCCAATGACATTCAACCGGTCTGAGCAGTCTAGCGTCCTATTGGGTCCTACGTCCTTCTAACCCGTCCTCTTGAGTCCAGAACACAAAAGCAGCTTCCGAATCAAACAAATCGGACCAAATCATTTATTTCAGACATACTCGGTTTATATATCAATCAGGCAGACCACAACGTACCATAAAATAGAAAATAACATATGTACACAAATAGGCCAAAAAGTGGCTGTGAATGTGGGAGACAGTAATTAATAAACTGAGCATAATTTAGGGACAGTAAATCGTACAATGATAAATTATAGGTCAAAGTGAAGCTTATGATAAGGGGAATATAAATATACATAATCTAACTATTAAATAATTACACCGTAAGAAAATATAGATAATATTAGTCAATTAATGTCTCAGAAGTTACTCGTGATTTAATCTTTGCTCGGATATAACACTGACAGGGAAGTCCTACTCACTGCCTTCTCGTGTCATTACTGTTGTTTACGAAAATGAGAGGACGAAAAGCGAATGTCCGGCGCTTTAACCGGACCCCAAACCAATGGTGCACATGGGCTCCAGTATCCTGAAGGAACAAATGGCGTATGAATCAATCGTTGGTCACCGGCTACCATGGGACTGCATCTCCTCATGATGGTCCACTGCCTTGTGGGTCAGACGTTCAGGTCAAAGGCTCGGAGTACGGCCCTCTAATAAAACCACCTGCTTCGGTTTGGGCAACCGGGCAGCATCACAGCCCTCACACATATCCAATGTGATCTGTGTTGTGCATATGTATTTGGTGCCTTCTTGTACCGATATCTATGTGTTAAAATAAATAAATAAATAGTGGCTATTGAAGGATTATATCGTAGTCCGTATTGTCTTGCTGACTACTGGATCATAAGTCACATCTGTTCTTGGGGTAAAGCCGGATGTTGTCTCACCATTAGAGGTTTCAACTCACCGCCTCTCAACTACACGGAGCTTACAGAACCAGTTGGAGGTTTCGATAGCGACCTTCTGTCAACCATTATTCGGTGTACACATGTAGAGTGTATCGCAAAACCGACATATTTTGTCTTGGAGGATTATCCCTCATTGTCGGACTTTGTCCTCACACGGTACTGTGAGGATGTAATCTACATTCAGCGCCTTCCACCACTTCACGTGGTGCTTGACTTTAAGTTTTGGACACACGGTATACAATATATATCTGTCCAACCAGCCCCTAAATCTAGAGAGCTAACATTCCGGAAATAGAAGACTGCTATTATTTATTGACTGGTCGGTTGATGAGGATGGACCGATAGAAGACAAATAGAATAAATTAAGGCTGCATTCGAGTCCGTAAGGTCGCTGTTTATCCCATGACCAGTACGTAAGCTATCACATTGCTCTCTGTAATATAATAAAGTAACCCGAAAGCTGTTGAAGCGCAGGAAACACTCTTCGCACTTATTCTTGTCAACAGGACACGAATCATTTAAGCGTTAATGCCGAAAAATCCTGAACGTATGTAAGAAACCATGGCTTGATGCCGTATTATTAACGACAGTTGGCTTGTGATAGCCTTATTTGTCCGAAACGGTTGTTTTCGTACGTTAATCAGAGAACAAAACGTAGTGATGGTATTCCCTCATCAATGTTACATGAAAATTCAAATTTACTAGCTGAATTAGATCTGACGAAAGCTGGGACTTTATCAAATTGTTTTAGCGAAGTCTACTCTACATGTATTGTTGAAAACACTTGTCCTTATCACGTCGCAGAGATATTAGCTATCGGACCTGTACATGTGACTGAGGAAACTGTTTTTCTCTTGATCACTAGCCTTGAAAGATACAGAGCCCTGATGTGTTGCATCTACGACTGCTATCATCTCTTGCGAACATTATTTCAAAATCACTCGCAATGCTCTTTGAAATGTCCCTTTTACTCATTCAACTACCTAGAGATTGGAAATATGCCATTGTCAGTCCTATATTTAAAGATAGTTAGAGATAGATAGCACATAGCTACCAACCCGTTAGTATAACGGCATAGTCGTAGTCACATAAATTCGTGCAATTTGTTTAACTCCCGAGCAACACGGGATTTGAAACAAGCACTCATGTTTGACTAACGTACTTATCGCGAGAAATGACTGAACAGCAACACTAGATAAAGATCTGTCTGTTGATATAATATTCATAAACCTTACCAAAGCGTTTGACAAAGTTTCATACTCAAGTCTTATACAGAAGCTCTCGAGCTTCGGAATAACAGGTGCAGTGCTGCAATGGGTAGGAAACTTCATATATGGCCACAGTTAGAGAGTGAGGGTTAATGGGACGCGATCCGAATGGGAGCCGGTCAAAAGTTGTGTACTTCAAGGTACCATCTGAGGTTCCCTGCTCTTCCTTCCATCCGTCAATAAATTACCGATTTTGACTAAGTCGTCAACATTGTTTGCGATGACATCAAAATCTGAAGAACAACAAGAAGTATGGCTGATCATTTTGATCTTCAAACTGACCTAGACGAATCAACTGGATGGGTTTAAGGTCGGGGATTAGAAGTTAATTCTGGACAGACTGTGCTCATGTACATCGGACACGGTATTAGTTACCAGTATACTATTAATGGTACATCTCTTCTATGAGTTCAGGAACATAAAGAATTAGGAGTTATAACAGATCAGTACTTGAAAACAACTACGCATTGCAACTTAACAGCCGATAAAATGATTCGTGCGTTTTGGTCATTTCTCCTAGCATTCAAATGCGCTAATGAGATGTTTCGAATTTTATATCTCACCTATGTAAGATCGCACTTAGCATACTCCATTAAAGCAGCTGGTCCATGTATAAATAAGGATACTAACTCATTTCAGTGTATTCATCATGTAGGGACAAAGTTAGTGAAGGGTCCTTCTATACTCCCCTACTATTAGCGCTCAAAATGCCCAAAGCTTTTTTCTCCTTGTCGTATTGTAGGACTCGAGGTGACCTTATATTGGCATTTCGTATCGTTAATTACGGTTTGGGTGTTAAAATTTCTTATCTTTTTGCTGCTTTCGACAATAATAATATGCGAGATCATAGCAAGAAAGTTCACAAATCGCGATCTAATAAACCTAAAGTAGTGATACGTTTTTCTCATCCAGTGGTATATGACTGGAACGCCTTACTCGAACAAGTGGTATCAGCCTCATCAGTGGATATTTTCAAGGAGAAGCTGGACCTTCACTGGAAGGCGAACTGTCAGGATTAACACAGGTACTTCAACGTAATATCCGTATTACTGAAGACTGAGGACAACATGATCAATGTGAAAAAGTGACGAGAACCATTATTGAAGACTGATGGAAGAGTTCCATGTACTTAAAACAAAAATCAATATTTCTTTCCAAGTATATACTTGTTTGATTCAACAAATGTTATTCAGCGAAATATATTTGTTTTTCTGGCTTGTTTCATAGCTTATAATTTCGAGTGGCAAATGAAAAGGAACGCTTTGTTGTATTGGTTTCTGTGGTTTCTTATTGTCAATGTCTTTGTCGATGAAGCACAAATAAATACTATTTCTTCAGTTAAAAAAGTACTCCAAGCATTCGAAAGTGGAGTTGATCCGGAAGTATATCAAAACATAGTGTGTTAAATTTACTTCATCTTCATAATTTTCAATGAACATTTTTAGACAGAAGTAATTTCCTCTAAAGGCTACAAATCTGAAGAACACTATGTTACTACCAAAGATGGTTTTATTTTGTGTATTATAAGGATTTTATCGAGATGTCACGAAGCTTCAGGTTTGTACTGTGGGTAAAATGGTTTTATTCCTAATCCATTTAGGAAGGCAAAAAGTTGTATTCCTTCAACATGGTCTTTTAGATTCCTCACATACTTGGGTTAACAATTTACCAGACGAAAGTCTGGGATTTATACTTGCTGATAACTGCTACGATGTGTGGCTTGGTAATAGTCGCGGAAGCACTTATTCATCAAATCATCTGTATTTAAAGCCCGATGACAAAGAGTTCTGGGAGTTCTCTTGGGATGAAATGGGAAAATACGACCTCCCAGCAACACTGATCTACATTCTTAATTACACTAATGCTGAAAAACTGAGCTACATCGGTCATTCACAGGTCAGTGTGTGCTTGGTTACCTTTGGTCTAAATTATCACCTCACCTTTCAAAGAGATATTTTAAATTAATTGTTTACTAAATGGATAAAACCTTATTTCTTGTGATTTAGTGAACAAATAGGACGGTTTACAGTAGTAATATTTAACCATAGGCTTCAACATCCATCAGTAACTCATTTATGATAAACATAGAACATGTCACTTATGTACGTCGGTTCAAGTTACTATATCACAAAAACCCTGACAAAGCACTCGGAACAACGTAGTAGCAATCGTATGAAGAAAAAGTGAAAATTAAGGATGTGGTTCGTAAAGATAGAGTGGAAAAGTACAAATGAAGGAATATTAGAATACAAGATCAAGAGTAAAACAAACAGAGTAAACCTGCACCACTGTGACGTATTCTAGGTTACGTTGCCTGAAATCTTCAAAAATCGGTTGTGGTTATCATATGGACCTCAATAAGTTAACATACACCTACCAAAATGGCTCAGATTAACATTCAGTGACTTCATTAACTGATGCCCTTTCTTGGTGTGGTCACTCTTAACATTACCTGGATTCCAATAATATGGATGTATTTGTATAGATATACGGTAGAAAAAATAGCTGGGCATCAGAGGTTCCCCAGTACCTTTCTGAAGATTGCTCGGAAATTTAATAAGAAAAAAGGCGATAATTGTTGCGAAGTAAAGCATATTCAATTGTATGAAGTGATATATGGACACAAAGCCCCAAGACTACCGATCTAGATAAGAAGAAGCGTCCCAAATCGGATCAACTCGCAGTCTCATAAAGTTGCTTGACCAAGGGCATTTAGCTGGCAGTATCTATAATGAATGTGCAGGGAACCCACTATGGTCGTCACTGACCTTTACTTAAGCCTTTTCTAATATCTTCTCGGGTCACTGTGTCATTTGACTTCCAGGAATCCAACTAGAGATTTTGTACGGATACACAAAAGCCTTTAATCTGACATTCCTATTCATTAACACAGTTGTCTGGACAAAATAATCAGTATTAACCGGTGTAGGCTAAGAATGTTTGTCACAAAATTGATATGATTGTTTTCAACTTCAAACTGCGTTTTGCGAAACTTTAGTTTTAATTAAAATCTGCACACGAGCGTCAAGTGGTCTTTTTAATAAATTAGTTCATGAATAAACAAAGGTTCACTGACACTGGTTTTGGAATATGATCTTGCTATGTGGAGTCTTCGTTTGATTAGCTCAACGTTTATTTGGGTCTTTTACGTATATGAACTTCGAATCCGTGTGGTTGGTTTTTTTTCATATCACATGTTTGGACTTGTAAACGTTTATTATTCTTTGCGTGAATAAGATATCTTTCATTGTCTCACAAGAAAAGACGTCATTTGTTCTTTAATAGTTTGTTCAATCCAACTATTTGTTGCTAAAATTGTTAATTGACCAAATAATTATTGATTTTATATGAAACTATTTTGGTTTAAAAAAGATTGAAAAACGTATACTGTACGTCTTCTTAATGAGGATATCTCAGCTAACCCGACCTTTTTAAAACATCAACTTAAGGAGCTGTAACCAAGTAACTAAACAAAAAATATCACTTGCTGAATGAATTGTTTGAGTATTTTTGAACACATTTTTTTCTGTCTTTCAGGGTAACAAAAATAAGGTAATGACAAATTTGAAATTATCACTTAAAAAGTTGGAAATAGTAATCAGGTCACATCCAGTCGTTCTGCGTGATATTGGGAAATAGATTTTGTCTTTCTGGTTCAGAATCACCAAAAATGTTTGAGGTTTTGAGAATTAAAATACCTACGGTCCTTCTGACCTTTTTTAACGAAACACTTAAGCCATAGGAAGTGATAGTAGGCTGTAGAGAAAGTTTTCGGCTTTTAAAAATAAACGAGCTTTTTTTCCATTATTGAACTTATCGAGAGGAAATAGTTTGTTCTGAAACAGTGTTGCTTCTCAGAATGTATTGACTTTTAATCTAAGTGCACAAACAATTTTTCACAATCATTATTCCATTGGGTTGAGACGACCGTGCTAGTCAGTCTTGCGGGACAGACCATTTCACTTTTTGTTCCATACTCATCTTAAGAATAAGTCTTAAATGGCTCTTTTCTTGTCCCATGGTGGTCTGATTTTACTTCAAGGCTTTTAATATAAGTTAAATGGTCTAACAATGAAGGTAACAAGATGTTTTAATATCTTAGGCTACGGTTTGTCTATTACTTTATTATTTTTTTGTCAGGACTATTTACTATGCAATTAAAAGACGTATCTTTCGGTGTATGCGTGGAAAATGGTTCAAGCACACACACATTGTTTATACGGTCTAAATACACCTAACTTTCGTCAAAATCATTTCTCGTCTGTGATAATGCAGTATTGTCTCCATAGGGCAATCAAATACCTCTTATCATTTGTTGGGTATAAAATGTTTAACAGTCACATTTTTGATTGTGTATGCAAGGCATTTCAGTTTAGTGTTGTATTATAAGAGATAAATGGAAAAGTATGTAGTTGATTCAACCGTAGTAATTTGTTTTTAACCGATTGTGATAGTTTGCTTGTTTAACTAAAAAAATACAAACGAGTAACACAGTTCCAATTAGTCCACTCCATTTAACTATTATTTGTGATGTAATATAAGGATATAAAACAAAATAAAATAGTTAAGATGGGTTATGTAAAAAAAGAGTGTGGAACATCACACTATTGACTTCATGACTTTACCAGTACTGCTAAAACAATTCTCTACGGTCGAGTTTGTATGGTGATATGTGGGCTCATTTAAAATACAGAAATTTCCTTATTTATGACCATTTGTTCATTTGATCTAACTGGAATTCCTCGACAACTGACCGTCAGGTTATGGCTGAGGAACTGCATTATATCCAAATATTAGTGGGACATGGATTGGGTTTAAGCATGCTCAATCCACGAATGCTTTGGTGCACGCTGATTGGCTGATTTTTATCCAATCAGCGCTAGTCAATACATGGAGAAGACTCTAGATTCTTCTTATGTAAAAACTATAAATACACTAACGGTTTTCCTTTTTTGCTTCTTTCTTCCATATAACCTTGCTATTTGGAATACAATCTCTTTCCTGTTCAACCGCGTTCTGATTTGGGGACTTGTCGAGTGAATTGGTGTCCGAGAATACTAAGCAATAGGAATAGCTGGGTTATAGCCGTAAGAGAGAAATTATAACACCCAAGTAGTCACATCCTAACCTTTTTTAATACTACATGTATCAATAATGTATATTTATAGCATATATTTTGTTTATCCATACTGAAACACTGTTAGAATCCCCGAATTTTGATCTTTAAAATTTGAGGCTAATTGTTATTGTCCCATATCTTTTGTGTTATTGTCGTACGTAGTAACTGAGTTATTTAATCCGGAAATTAACCATAAACATAAACTTATCGTCGGTTTGATAGTCTCATATTAAACCAGGAAGCACTAGACATATGTCTTAGTTTAAATTGGAACTACTCAGAAGTGTATACCTATGATCCTACTCTATAAAGCCCCTAACTAGGATGAAACACTTATTTAGCATCAAATAAATAATAATAAAGGATGTTTGACGATTGTTCAGTCAAAAAATAGGAACGGATTAATTGGTGAGTGCGGTGATACGATTTGTCAGTGTAATGGCTGCTAACGATACAGAATTATTGAGGCATACTCCTGTATGACTTGATATCACAAATAGGACTGCTAGCTCAGAAGAATAATCTTCTTACTTTGTAAATAATATACTTATACATAAACACCAGTAAGCTCAGCACTTGTAAATGGTAACTAACAATTTATACCCAATAGTTTGATTGACTTAAACTTAACCGATCATTTAATTTACCTTGAAACGGCTTGGTTTATCCCGTTTTTGATATTTTCTACTGAAATTCGATAAGTCTTAGTTGGTGTATGATCATCTGATGCAGGTTGCTTCAAAATAGCCATTATAGCATAAATTTATATACCATAAATGAAATGTGGTTAACAGTGGAATCCATTATCTCAGTGAATAACGCAACGCCACTTGAAAATGAGCGTCACTGTGTTCAAGTTCTGAAGTGAACAATAACTCTGAGATATTACCACTACTAGCTACACTTCACTTTTTTTTATGTTCTACCAAACATCACTTTTTGTATCATTAATTCTTACTTGTAACCACCTTGAACCTGATGATAGTTTATTGGACATAAACTTAATGTTTTTCGTCTTTTTATGAGACTGATAAACTATTGACAAAAATTTTTCAATATACTATGTTTTGTTTATGGGTACATTATTAACATGATTTGTATTTTACGTTTATTTGTAATTGTGATTCATTGTTTTTGTCATATTTACGTAATCAACATTATTATTAGTATTAGCATTATTATTATTACTGTTATTATTATCATTACTATTATTATTATTATTATTATTACTATAATCATTATTACTATCATTATTATTACTGTTATTACTATTACTATTATTATTATTATTACTATTATTATTATTACTATTATCATTATTATTATCATTACTATTATTATTGTCATTACCATTATCATTATTACTATTATTACTATTACTATTATTATTATTATCACTATTACTACTATTGTTATTACTATTATCATTATTACTAGTATTATTATAACTTTTATCATTATTATTATTATTACTGTTATTATTGCTATTATTATTATTTATTATTATTTATTATTAATAATACCAGATAACACGGTGTAATGTAAATAGTTCTAATCAACTCATTATCTGAGTCAATACGGTAGTCTGGTTGTTTATGTTTGTTTGCTTTTTATTTTTTGTTTCACTGAAATAACTTTACTACACAAATAAATAATATTCACATAAATTACACATTGTTTACTTAATACTATTTACAACCATAGTTCATTGTAATACTCAAGCTATTTATTATTCGATTTCATTATTTATCTTGTTGGAAGTTTAGTAAAAGAAATATTGTACAGTTTAACCAATCAGAATACGAGAATGGAACTTTGTGACTTTTGTGTGAAATTCACCAATGACACGTATAATGTACAAGAGAAATAATTGTTTACTATGCTCTCAGAACACTTAAAATAAAGTTATTGTTTTTCATCATAGAAACAATTGATAGGGTTAAACATATCAGATGGTTAGTTCTTCCCTATTCAATTATATATATATAACAGGTGATTTGATATTATCCATAAATGGTAAACTGAAACGCTTGTTTCTAAGACAAACCTTGACTCACTGGTAGCATATTTTATGAACGAATTATAATTTAGTATTATCTTTTGGGTTGTTTTTTGTTTTTGGCGAGATTTATTCATCCATATTGTTACAGAGCATAATTGGAATATAGTTCATGTCATTTTGTGATAAAAATCTAAATTTTTAACTTGAACCAAAAATATTCTAATAAATCTATTTGAGTTTTTATAAAAGTTCCAGTAAACAGATTATCCATAATTATATAGACTAATTTGATGAATATTTGGCTTATTCAATTTGCTGATAAAGTAACCTGTAGAGGTCTTGAATAAATTTATAAAATATTATGTAGACCTTTTTTTGAACTGTTTATTTATAAGGTTACTTTCTGACTGGTTAAGAACAGGCTAAAAAAGTCTTAGCGGTTATTATAATCTCATCTTAGTATTATACGCTAACTGACTTTCCAATCATTCATTATTCAATTAGTTCTAAGCAAAGTTTGACAATAGCCATTCGTAGAATTCAGAATGTGTTGAATAAATTCAAAAATGAATGATGAAGAGAATTGTTATTTCACATAAAAAAATGAAAACAATGATTATATATATTCATGTATTATAGAAGGATGTGGCTAGCAATGAAATCCAGGAGGCCTGTTTCTTCTTACTTGGTACTCATCAGTTAGAAATACTTGCGTCGGATTCAATGTTAACTCTGGGATTCGAATACTGTATCTTTAACTTCAAATGCATAGCGCGTTATCCACTGAGCAATTGAGTACAGATAGCTATTCACTTGTAAAACGTGTATGAATCTCAATTTAATTTATAATGGCTTGCATTATCTTTTTGTTGATATATTTATTGAAATTTCTAGCGAAAGCTACTATGTTCGAATCCCTAAGTGGACATTAACTCGGTGATGCAGATAATTTTAGCTAATGAGTTCGAAATGAGATGAAACTTACATTTTGCATTTCACTGTTGTTATAACTTATGGCCTGTGTGCCCTGTTAATGGATAAGTAATGATACCGCCAATTAGGCAGCAGTGAATTATCGATCGAACCAGTCACGCATAAAACACGTGCGAGCTGTCTAGTGTCCTTATTGGTCCTGCTTTCCTCCTAACCCAGCCAGTTAAAGTCCAGAACACCAATCCGAGCCTCTGCAATATGAATCATGTACTTCAAGCATACTGGGTTTATATATCAACCAGACAGATCACATTGTACCATAAATAGGAAACAGTATTTGTAAAAAAATTGGCCAAATGTGGCCGTGAATGTGGGAGATAGTAATTGATAGACTTGGTATAACTCAAAACTGGTAAATCATATAATAACAGTTCATAGGTCGAAATAAAGCTCATAATAAGAGGGAGATGAATATGAACAGTTTAGTTACGTAACAATTATGCGATAAAAATATACTCATAGTATTGATCCATTAATGGTTCCCAAAAGTTACTATTTATTATTCTCATCGGGATATAACAAGCGTTACCCGCATTCTATTTATTTTATGGTAATGTGTGTCACAATGATTATACCAAAGCAATTTGCACATGATTGATCAAAACCCAGTCGAGAATATCAACAACCGGACAATTCAAAAAGCATTTCATATTGAGTATATCTATATAGTTGATATATTGAATGAAATGTACTTTTGTTTTCTTCCAACATTATTATTTATATCATCCTTGTATCAGGTAGTATGTCTTTTCTAATAAGATTAAACGTGATATATTTACTAGTAATTCTCATTGCATAATTGTTATACTTATGGCTGCCGATTAGAAAGAGGTGAATTATCGATTGGACCAAGGATGCGTAAAACACGTGAGAACAGTCTAGAGTCTTGATTGGTCCTGCTTTCCTCCTAACCCAGCCAGTTAAAGTCCAGAACATCAATCCCAGCCTCTGCAATATGAATCATTTATTTCAAACATAGTCGGTTTATATACCAACCAAACAGACCACATTGTACCATAAATAGGAAACAGCATTTGTAAAAAAATTGGCCAAATGTGGCTGTGAATATGGGAGGCAGTGACTAATAGGGCATAATTCAAGAATGGTAAAACGTATAATAATGGTTCATAGGTCAAAATAAAGCTCACAATAAGATGGACATGAATATGAACAGTTTAGTTACTTAACAATTATACGATAAAAATATATGTATAGTATTAGTCCAGAGATAGATTCTAACAGTTACTATTCATTATGTTTATCGGGACCTAACAATAATACTGCTGTACAAAGTGTTTGTACTAGGAAGTTATTCATATATTCTGTGTATAAATACATACATACTTGTGCAAGTTTAATGTATTATTACACTTAATACTTTAATATTTATCTAGTTATATGATCATATGTAAATACTTGAAAATGAGTTATTTATAAATGACTAGAAAACAACATACCTTTAATCATAAATCTAATAAAATGTATAACAAAGTTTTATCTAACAACTGATTTGTCATGACTTCTACCTGAATTATGTACTAATGATATTGTTCAGAAGAATGATGAAAGTTTCACAACCAAATTATCCAGCTCAATGTATAAAACTTCATTAAAATAATTTATTATTTGAATAAATTATGCCATAGGTTTTCTTTTTCGAATAAATCCTACATATCACAGCTAAAATTTTGTATTTCCCTCTTTCTTTATATATTATCGAAGATCACTATCCAATGAGGCAACTTTCGTCGTCGGGAAAAAAAAGATTTCTAGATCCTCTTTGCAATATTGTTTTTTTTTTTCATTTAACACTTGGATTTTCTTTAACCATGTCATGAAAACCTTATTTTTAAGAAAATTAAATGTATGTCTTATCCATCTCCAACATATTTTAATAACTTTTTCTTTAACGGAAACTTGGTTTATGCTTTCCTATAGTAGACTGTTGCTGATGGTATCTCATCAACGGACATTCAGTATCTTGCATAACTCACTGTTTATAAATACTTGTACTATTCGATGATAGTTGTAGCAGTTCTATAAGTTTCAACTCCGTACAATAGAATTAAGTGACTTGATATTCGTATTTGGAATTCTGATTTTGATATTAGTTGACAGTTGTTTTGAGTTCTATATGTTCTTCTATTGTGCGGATGCTTCCCTTGCTTTGCCAATCCTTGCCTTTACATCTGCATCAAATCCTCCTCGCTTATCGACGATGTTGTCCTTGTTCATCTATGAAAGTTTCCACCTCATCCAGAGCTTTGTCATCAAGTGTGATTGAGTTGGTGTTCTTGCTTTTTCCATTGTGTATGTTGAGGCCTACTGATGCAGGTGCTGTTACTACACTGGTTTTCTTCGTCTGCATTTGATGTTGCGTATGAGATAGAAGGGCTGGGTGATCTGCGAAGTCCAAATAGTCTAATTGCATGCAAACTATGTATTGTGTTTTGTGCTTCCCGTCAGATGTGGAGGTCTTCATATTCCAGTCGACCACTAGGAGAAAGATAAAGTGGGAGAGTAAGCAGCCTTGTATGGTTCCGGTCCTCACTCAGAATGCATCTATCAGCTGTTCTCCATGCATCTATTTGCACTGTAGTCTGTCGTATCAATTCCGGGTTATGTTGATGATCTTCTCAGCTACTCACTATATAGTGTCGAAGAAAGTTTCATAACATTCTCCCATCCACACTGTCAAACGCTTTCTCAAAATCAATGAAGCTTGTGTATAGTGACAAGTTTCATTCAATCGATTGTTCAACGATTATCCTTGGTGTCGCGATTTGGTCTGGGTACGACCGATCGTTATAGAATCCAGCCTGTTGGTCTCAAAGTTGGAAGTCTTTTGAATCTTTCATTCAATTCAACACCACTCGGTAGGAAACCTTTCTTGGTACTGATAGTTGTGTGGTGCCCGTGTAGTTCTTTCATTTACTCAGATCTTCTTTCTTTAGCATCTTGATAAGGTGTCCTTCTTTCCAGTCTGTCGACAGTTGTTCTTCCTTCCAATTTCTCCTGAATAAAACGTTATGCATATTTGCGGTTACTTCCATATCTAACTTCATTACTTCAACTAGTATATTTTCCGGTCCTGCTACTACTGCTTTCCCACTTTTGATCTGTCTGATAGCCATCCTGATTTCTTCATTTGTTGATGGGGGGTGACATCGAAGCAGGTTCCATAAGGTTCTTCAAATATTTTTTTCATAAACTAATTATAATTATGCAATTATTCGTAACAGTGCCAACTCACTACCAATGAATCTTTCTTCGTCAGAATGACGGTTTGTGGAAATTGTAATAATGTAATGGCTGAATTCATCATTCGATTTAAGCTAGACCAGGTTTTTCAAGATGATCTAGTCTAAATCGTCTCATGAATTCAACCATTAAAAATTTTGTTTCTTTGTTTTCTTATAGGGTTGTCAAATTATCTTGGCGTGTTTTGATGAACATCCTATAATGCAATCATTTATTGATTTATTCATCGCCTTAGCACCAGCTGCTTACCTTGGTTCAATTAAAAGTCCTATACGTTATATTGCACCATTTGCAAAAACAGTCGAACCAGTTGTTGAATGGTTTGGAAATGGTGAATTTTTACCTTCAGGTAAAATTATGCAATTTCTAGCATTATTCTTATGCAAACCAAATCATATTCCCTTTGTATGTAGTAATATAATGTATTTAATTGCTGGATATGATTCTAAAAATACAAATGTGGTAAGTTGCACTTTAACAAGTATTGTTATGTGTATTTTTATCTCTAAATATATTCAAAATATTCATTTATTGCTCCCTTATTTACATCTCTTATATCGTTGGATAAGCATTCTGAAGTTAATATAATGATAGTCTCTTTGCGAAGTAGTCTGCTTTATGAAGTTCTGTATTTTTTCAGTTCAATGAAATAGAAGCATATATACAGATCACATGTATTCCCTCGTGTTTATCATAGATACACTGTTCTCATGTTATGGAATCAGTAAGTTAACTTAAGTGACATGATTGAGATCATGAACCGATTGATGTAAGATCACTGTTGAAGACCTGGAAGCACTGGATGTCCGTTTCGTCCTGTTGTGTGACTCCTCAGCAGTGCTCATCCACGATCCCGCTAGCTGGATTCAAACCCATGGCCTTTAGTCTCGCGCGCGAACGCCTAACCTATTGAACCACTTAGCCGGCATTCAATAGTGTTAGTGTCTAACATCAACCAATTCACGAAATTGAGCGACCATCTTCCATTGTACTGAGGTAGGTACCTGTCTCTACTCGACACGGATTAGCTCCACTGGTCACGGCTTCTGCTGAGGAGCACCGCAACAGGACGAAACGGCCATCCAGTGCTTCCAGGTTTCCAACAGCGGTCTAACATCAATCGATTCATGATCTCAACCAAAAACTTAATAATTTCTACAACCCCTATATTGTTAAGTGATGATTTTAGTGTGAAAAATCTAGTCTTTAAAATCCCATGTTTAAAATTTGAAGAGAGTGAAGAAAGGAATATAAAGCTTTTCATTTAAACCCATGAAAATAAGCACGCGTTTATGGAAATCTGTTATTTGAGTTATCATTAATAAACAGTGTCCTTGAAAAATATTGACCATTCCTATTTATCTCTATGGTCTTGTTAAGATAGGGATAAAGAAGAATGTTTAGTTCCAGTTCTTTCAATTGTAATTATGGTTAGTAGGCTTAACAACTCATAACTTTTCTGATGCATTAAAATGTGAGAAGCTCGTACCCGATAATTAAGTTAGGGTTATTATGTTGGACAGAAGACATACTGTGGTGTGTACTACTGATGTCGACAGATATGAGTAGTATGTATCATCAATTGAAATTGAAATGCCTGACGGCAGAAGATTAAGAAGATCGAAGAAAAGAGATTGATTGATGTGGAAATGAAGGAACAGTAAAGTCAGATGGTTGACTGATATTTCGCAAAGGAAGCATTTACTGTATGGTTCTGAGATTTTACTAAGAGATTCTGTAATTTAGTGTCCAAATACATTCGATTGTCCTCACTTGTGTTCTCGTTCACTACAATACTTTACAATAATTTCACTAACTGATTAGTTTCAATACAATGATAATCATATTTTTTTTATGTAAAATTCTGTACTCGCATGTTTATATTAATTACATGACCTTGTAATTAGTATTATGACATTTTGGACATTTTAGTTTTACATGTAATGTGAGACTAATTATTACTTTCTCTCACTCATTCTCTACCTCCCTCCCTCCCCCCTCTCTCTATATATATAAAGGACAAAAACAATATTTATTTTTATGAAAGCTTTGAACAAACATATCAAATTTAACACATAATTCTATCCATTTTGTTAATGGACTATATAAAATAAATGAATGTACTGGTTAGTTATAGAATTTTACATATTATCAAAGCAGTCTGAAATGAAGTACTTATGAATTCATTAGCAGTTAATTGATCTATATGAGAAATTAAGCAAAAGTAAATAGATTCAAGGTTACGACATAAGGGGAGTTTAAATTTACGAATAGCCAAGGCTTCAACAAACCTTAAAATTCGTCTATAACAATTTCTATACAACGTTTTGAAAGCTGTGTTTATTTTGTGTCCCGTTTCAAGTAGATGTTTCGCTATCGATGAACATGGTTTTCTACCTCTCACGTTGATTGGACCATTTGACACTAATTGGCAACTATGTATAAATGATACATGGATGATATACTAATTATATGTGATAAAGATTTTGAGGTTTCCCAGTTATTAGATAAACTCAACGCGGCTCAAAACGACATCGTAATAACTTATGAAGCAGAAAGTGACCGATCGTCCTTTTCAAATATACTTTTGAATAGAAGGGGGGATGGTACCATAAGACGATCAGTTTATAGGAAACCAACATGGACGGGGCAATGCTTGAACTTCTGTAGTTTATTTACATTGCAATACAAGCGAGGCTTGATTAAGTATCTCTTTAATAAGATTCAAAGAATTTACACTACCGATACGATTGAAAAAAGAAAAAAGTTACTGACTGACACATTAATATCAGATGGTTATCCACTAAAGTTTATTAATGAGTGCAAAAGTCAGTTAACGACAAGACCTCTCATTTTGTCGGTTCCAAAGAAAGAAGTTTATATCTATCTACCATACAGAGGTGAATCCAATAATATAGTTTTAAGACAGAAACTGAAAGCAGCCATCAAGAAAACCTATTATACTGCTAAATTGGTTGTGGTTGTAATATCTAAGCTCATGATTCTACACAGAACTAGACAATGCACAAATGATTATGTCACATCCCATTGTATTTACCAATTTATATGTTTGTGTGTACACACATACATAGGGAGGAGTAATCAAAGAATGCAATCAAGGGTCGTTGAGCATGTGCCTAGATTACTTCAAAACCAATTAGTGTCAAATGGTCCAATCAACGTGAGAGGTAGAAAACCATGTTCATCGATAGCGAAACATCTACTTGAAACGGGACACAAAATAAACATTAACACAGCTTTCAAAACGTTGTATAGAAATTGTTATAGACGAATATTAAGGTTTGTTGAAGCCTTGGCTATTCGTAAACTTAAACTCCCCTTATGTGTACAAAATTAAAATAGAAGTTAAAAGATTTGTTACGATAAAAATCAAGAAAATTTCGAAATACTCCAAATTTAGCATTGAGTTAAATTGGAAGTTGAAAAAATGTTAACAGAATAATGAGTCAAATATGGATTGTGGCTAGCAGTGAAATCCAGAACGCGAGTTTCGTCCTACTTGGCACTCGTCAGCTGAATGCACCTGCATCTCAGAGTTGATGTATATCAATGGGGAAAAATATGTTAATATAGTTTTGTAGAAAACTACACAATCCAGTCTTTCAGAAAGAATCATTGATAAAAATCACAAATTATACGATGTTAACATTCTGATGACACGAGAAGTTTTGGCTTAGATAGACAGCATTTATGATTTTACATTATCTAAAGTCGGCAAATTAATTATTAAACTTTCATTTGTAGGCTTGAAAACATTCTTACTGAAGATTTTAATAGCATTCAAACATTAGATTTATCAGTTCATATTCAAAACATACTCATGTTCAAAAAATTGTATTGTTTATTCTGTAAGTAACACATTTTTTCTTAAGTGATGAGTTTTAGATAAATAATTGACGATTGTGACCATTAAAAAATGATTGAATTGACACCTAAACTAATGATAGGGAGTAAAGTAGTTGAACGTGTCGACTGCTTCACTTATCTTCGGAGTCTCATGTGCCCTTGTGGTCTAGTGTGTGACGAAATCTCAGCACGGATACACAATGATCGACTAGCTTTTGTCAACTTGCGTCATTTGTGGCGTAGGCGAGATATCCGTCTATCAACCAAAGGACGTGTTTACTGCGCATCAGTTCGTTCCGTCCTACTTTATGGCAGTGAAACATGACCGACAAGAGTAGAGGATATTCGTAGGTTACTAGTATTTGATCACAGGTGTCTTCGAAACTTTGCTCGTATATCCTGGGACCACCGAGTAAGTAATGCAGTTTTTAGGAAACGGGTACTAGGTAAGGATGGGAAATCAATTGATGAAGTAGTGAAACTTCATCATTTGAGATGCCTGGGACACGTGTTACATATGCCCAACAACCGAATGCCCCAACGAGCTATGTTTTATGGTGAAGGAGTAGGCTGGAAGAAAAGTAGGGGCGGCCAGATCAAAACATGGTACAAATCGATGGAGTCACTGACAAGTGAACTGAGCCATGTTGGTAGGTGTAGACTACCTGGTTGGGGTCCGCGAGATGATAGCAACCAATGGTTATAAACCTTGAATGACATGGCTCAAAATCGTTTGCAATGGCGCAGGTGCATCCACTCATTGTGTTCTCCCAAATTCTAATTTTTTGAATTCTTTATGTCCCTTTTTTCTTTTTCTAAATTTATCTCGCTTGGTTGTTCTCCTTGAATAACATCTTCGGACCCTAATCTTTCCGATTACTGCTTGTGCTCGTACTACTTCCACCACTATGGGATTTGAATTGACAAGTTGTATCTCTGTGCTAATGTAGTATGGCAACTTGAACTGATTTTCGTACATTCGAAATTCTACGTTGCTGTTAACTGACTGACCATAAAAGGTTTTTTCAAGTACTGACTTATATAGAAAATTTATTTCCATCAAAGTTCAATATTTATCTGAAGTTCCAGTTATAATTTGGTAGTTCCTTTTTTTCTAATTTGAACCATTTATCCTAAACTGATTGAGTATGATAAGATTTGTTTTCACATATTAACAGCGTTTTTTAAATAAACCATTTAAAGAAGAGTCTAAATATATTTTGTACATTGTTGAAGAAATGTAGTCAAAAATAACTTATAATCTTGAGGATCATTGGCTCATTGGTTAAAGCGTTATAATTTCATCTGTTGTATATTTAAATCTGTATTTAGCTACTGTGATATGCCCATATCTAATGCATAAGTTTAATTTTAATAGTTGTATTCACAAATTGATCTAAGCTAGACCACCATTGAAAACCTATAAGCACTGGAAGAACATTTCGTTCTAGTATGGGACTCCTCAGCATTAATACTGTTGATGCCGACTTATTGGTCTAAAGGTCAAGTGTTTGCTCGAGAGGTCGAAGGTTCTGAGTTCGAGTTCCGTGCACAGGATCATGAATACTTACTTCTTAGGGGTCTTATACTAGGACAAAATAGCCATCCATTTCTCCTAAGTTTTCATTGGTAGTCTACATTAGATCAATTCGTAATTTGAACTATTAAATTTACTACGATTTCCAAAAATCCCCATTCTAACAATAAGTTTAACTTAAACCTGAGTAAATGAAACTAAAATTTGTTAATAACTAGATTATAATGTTAAATCTTCCAAATATATAATTTTAATAAAATCTTCATATATGACAAATGATGTATTAGTGTTATTTCATATATAATTGAAAGTAACAACATATCATGAATAACAATAGAAGTATATTTCCTAAGGAAAATATAATTAATCAACTGAAGTTACCATCGAAATTCACAATGAATTACATCTAATCTACTTGTAACTATTTTTTATTCAGTTAATGTGTTCTAGATCTGAGATTTCATTATCAGTTAGAGGTTTTTTTTGGTTGCATAAAACTAATTCAAAAAAAAAATCAAAAAAAAAACTTTAACTTATTTACATACTTTTAATTTAGAAAGCAAAATACTCCCCTCCCCCCCCCTACTTTTTTTTAGTGAAATGTCGATAAATCTAATTGACGTAACTGTAACACTGTCACCATTTTGAAGTTTGTTCGTTTTTTTTTTTTTTTTTGTATCACTCAAATAACAATTCTCATATAATTCAAATATACAAACCAATCATTCAATATCCATGTTATCCTTAGCTTTATAACAAACGAGTAATTGTTGTCAGCCGAATATTACAATATCGTTTATTTTTTATTTAAAAAAAATGTAGTTAATGAAGTTGATGTATTAACAAGCCTAGTTGTCATAACTGTACTCTCCCCCCCCCCAAAGAAAAATGACAGATTTTTCTTAGTTTTAATAATTTTCTAAATATCTAATGTCTTATTTCATTATATTCATTCATTCATGCATTTTTTTTTCGGATAATAGAGTCGTTTACCAATTTATGTTGCACATACACCTGCTGGAACATCAGTTCAAAATATGGTACATTATTGTCAAGTGAGTCATTAAAAAAAATCGTTGGTTTGCAAAGGTTTGCATATTTTCATTGAGAAATCCAATGGATCAATCACTATTAGTATATGTCCATCCTGTTTAACGTGAATATTATATGACAATAAAGTTAAACTTCTGTATCAGAATTGGTTTTTTGTGGATAGTATAGTAACTTCAATAGTTGAGATCATAGGTCAGTTGAAGTTAGACCATGATGGAAGACCTGTAAGCACTGAAAGGCCGTTTCATCCTATTATGGGATTCTTTAGTATTAACACTATTGATACCGACTCAATGGTCTAAAGGTTAAGGTCCTGAGTTCGAGTTCCACGCATGGGATCGTGGATGCGCACTGCTGAGGAATCCCACAACAAGACGAAACGGCTGTCCTGTGCTTCCAGGTTTTCTATAGTGGTCTAGCTTCAATTGACTCATAATCTCAATTATTAAACTTTTATCTTGACAGTTGAAGTGGTTTGTATTCACGTTGATAATATTTAAGAAAAGGACTGAACAGGTTAGTACGATTATAAGATCAAATTTCAACTAACAACACATACGAACTGACATTAATAATTTTGATTACATTTCAATTCATTTCGTTGTCTTGTTGAAAAATGAAATATCAAAAGACAAAACTTGATCTGCTACTTTGAAAAAAAACACGATTATTTCACAAAAACTAATCAATATCAGTAATTACTTCATTCAAAAAATGCTTTTTTTCTTACATTTTCTTCATCTTATCATTTTGAAAAGATCAAGAACAAAGATTCTAACAGAATAGCATGAATTCATTTAATTTCTTTTGTGATAAGTCTTGCTAATTGAACGCTAGATTTGGTTCCTAAGCTAATCTACTAACCCCAAGGCTAAAACACAAGAGAAAAGGTGCGAAATATGTAAGAAATACTTTACTCCAAAGATTCGTTTATGAGTAGAAAATCTAGGGTTTTTATAGTATTTTCAATATTCTTGGGTTTTCGGATAATTTCGTAATGCTACTAAACCTAATAGCAGTATGAGTAATCATCCAATCAGAAAATCATCATGTGACTTTTCACTTTCTTGATGTTTCTAACAAAACACTGATTGGATAAGATGCTTTTCAGAGTTTTCAGAGCCCTGTATGACTTTTTTTCGAGTTTTTATGGATCTCCCTAACAGTTTAGTTCTGGTCAGCTGCTTGCAAACTATGGTAGGTTTAAATTACTCACATGAAAGAGATTAAACGGGAGTTATATTGAAGACACATTAATAAAGTAGAGCATGGGTGTATATAAATTTGATGGTCTGAATAAAATATTATAAATATATACCTAATGTAAAAGAAAATTCTACAACTCTTAGATTTATTTGTACCTTTGCTATACCATACTAATGTGTCTTCGACATAACTTGCAAATAAACTCTTTCATGTAAGTAATTTCAACCCACTTTGTAATTATGTTTTAAATACCATAGTTTGTAAGCATTTGACCAGAACCGAGCGAAATCAGCCAGTCAGTCAATTGCAACGTAGGACCAGGCACATACGTCCATCGGTCCAAGTTGCCATACCTCATTAGCACAACATGATGAATACCAAATTCATAGGAGTTAATTCAATGGTGGTAGTATATAAAAGAAAGATTGCATATAAGGATACAGTACGGTGAGAAAGAATTAGTTCGTAGAAACCAAGATATGAAGCAATTTTAATCTCATGGTTTAAGGAAAGACAGAGAGTGCATACACCTACGCCATTGTGATCGATTCTGAGCCATGTCACCAAGAGTCTCCAACTATTGATTACGATAGTCACGCGGATCCCAAACAAGTAGTCTGCATCTATCACCAACATGGCCCAAACTAGAAGTTAGTGATTTCAACCACTGATGCCACGTTTTGGTTTGGCCACCCCTAACTTTCTTCCAATTATCCCCTGCACTAGTCAGCATTGCGCGTCGTGGTAATCGGTGTTCAGGCATACGCAACACGTGGCCCAACCATTTCAGTCGATGAAGATTCATAACCTCATCAACTGATTTACCATCATTCCCTAATACCCTGTGTCTAACCTCGCTGTTACTTACCCGGTGATCCCAGCAGATGCGAGCAGTATTTCTAGAGCATCTATGGTCAAATACTAGTAGCTTACAAATATTTTCTACTCTTAATGGCCACGTTTCGCAGCCGTAAAGTAGAACAGAACGAACTGCTACGAAGTATACTCGTCCTTTTATTGATAGACGGATCTCACATTCGCCATAGGTTATGTAAGTTGAAAAAAGCCAAACGAGCTTTTCGAATCCGTGCAGAGATTTCGTCAGACACCAACCCATTAGGGCTGATCAGACTTCCAACATAAGTGAGGTTGTCAACGCGTTCGACTACTTCACTCCTTATCTTTAGTTCAGGTGTTGACGCAGACCAGTCCTGAAGCAACAACTTGCCTTTAGAGGGTAAGAAGCGTATTCTAAACATTCTGGCATTGTTGCTCAGCGCTGCCAAAAGACTGCATTTTATCAGCGTCTTGATTAATCAGGACTATGTCGATAAGTGGACCTCCTGGTTGGAGATCAATGCCCGGAAATTCGGTCGACGAAATAAAATGAACTCATGCTATTCTGCTGTTCTTGCTCTTTTCAAAATATTTTTTTTGTACAGTATTTAACTTTTGGTGGCTTGGTATCCAACTCCAATTCAGTCGTTTGCTGGTTGTTATCGAAACATACATGCGTTAGTGAACAGTGTTATTAACTAAGTTAAATACGAGAATGAATTTTGAATACGTATATTTCATACAATTATTAATCCAAACAGGTGATCAGAGAAACGTTGCGAAGAAAGCGAAGAGGAGAGGGCGAAGCGAAACGGATCGGAGAGCCAACTCGAATTAACCAAGCGTGAATCGATATTTATAGTTAAGCAAAAATAAGTTATAGAGGCCAGAATAACTTATGTGGGCTTGACATAGAACTAGCCCCTACAAACTATTTACCCACACTTTTGAATTATCCTACAATTAAAATGATATAAAGACTGTATAGTTTTATGTCGATTGGTCCGACAGCACAATAAATCGTCCAGTAAGACTATTCAGACCACATAGTTGCATGTATCAAAACCTGTAGCATAAAATTTATTGGATTATATTCCAATGGCCTTAGATGTTGGTTTGTCATTTGGTCGCTCTACATAACTTAATGACCTTAAAGCGTAAATTAATGTGTCCCTTTGAATGATGAATATTTTTTTCACTTTACTCAAGTTCTCTTTAACACTTGATCTTGTTCAATCTGCAATATATAGTGTAGTTAGAAATACATTCAAACTTTTGTGTAGAAAAATAATATTCCATCAATGTTTCTACGAAGTTCAATACTTCGTGGAAATCATATTTTTACATTTTTGGCGAAACTACAATTTCTAGACGAACCAATGAGGTTTAAGATAACAGGTCTCGGATTTTGGCGCGAAATCCACTCATCCATTTGGCTACATAGAGTTTTGGCATTATAGTTGATATCACTTCGTGATAAAAAACTTTAAATGTGATTCATGATTTTAACCATCAACCGTAAATGATAATTCAAAATCCTCATACAGGTCTATAACCCTCATTTGGTCCTAGATGATTAGGTGGACATCTTCAAGGTTAATCTAGTGTCGCTCAAATGTCGTCCATAAATTATAGTCTCACCCATTTACCTTCTTATTAGACTGATCATCAATAAGATTCATACACTAAAGGGTACTCAAAATTTCTGGAGAATATTTGAACAGAAGGAACTTTCCACAAATCCTTACATCATATCTGCAGATAAATATTCTCAAGTTGTTAATATGCAAGAGTGACTTTTTCTCATTCTCTGTTTACTTATGTGAACCGTACATAGATTATTTAACAATGACTACAGCTAGGAGTATTTTTTTACTTAATAACTGGATTCTTGATTAGAATTAGAATCCAAAACTCACTTTGTATTCAATTCAGAACTCATTGAATAGAAATAATTGATTCCATTGTTGATTTCAAGTTACATGGAAACTAAACTTTCTTCGTGAACTAATTTGTTTTGAAATGTTTTTCTTTTCATTCGATTAAACATAGATAAGTTATCATTGAAAATATCAGTGAATTGTAAACGTGTTCCAGGTTTTAAGTAAATTATAAACATGAAACAAAGTTGGATCTGTTAAGCATTGGTAATAATATTTCTAAATGAGTCTGAATGATAATAACAAATTAACGTCAAGTTACCAGTTAAATCATATAGTTCAGAGAAATTTGCAATGTTTCCTCATACACTAGTTACCACTTTCTGATGATTTACACCAAGAAATGTGATTATTTTCAGGGGCTTGGAACAGAAACTGGTTTGGTGGTGGTCTTAAAAACCTGGAAGCGTGACCACAGAGCTCAAAAGACAACCACTTGAGACCGGTCACATGTAGTCTTATTTTGAGTGTTTTTTTAATTTGTTATTTCCGCACCTTGAAAGCTTTACAGACTCAGTAGCTAAGTGAATAATGTGATGGCGTTTGAAGCGAACGGTATTGGGTTCGAGTCCCAGAGTAAGCATCAACTCTGTGATGCAGGTACATCCAGATGACGAGTCCCAAATAGGACGAAACGCACGTCCTAGATTCCACTACTAGCCACTGTCCATCTTTGCTTACCAAAAGCGTTGAAAATTAAGACATGGCATTTTTAGAGTTGAATTTTTAACCCCTCTTTCTGTTGTGGGGATGTAATACAGATGCATGTGTCAGTAGCTTAAGAAGAACACTTTACTACCGTCACAGCTCTATACAGTGAGCAGTACAACTTGACTATCGCACCATAATTTTGTTGCTCTCAGCTTTATCACTCTCTAACCAACCTGGCTGATTTGATAGTAAACGCTCCAGCCAATATAGCTCGACTAGATCATCATAATATGTAAACCCTATCAATAAGTCAAGATAAAACATGTGTCCACCACTTGATGTTGCAAGCACAGTGTATTGATTGTTTACAAAAACAAATACAAAACATACTAGATATAGTTCACTAAACATCATCAATCAATTTACTTACTTTAATATGTTATTCCTTTTTAATTCGGAAAACTTTTTTTCTTACAGGGTATAGTTACTGATCGCTTTCAAAAATACGATTATGGTCCTATAAAAAACTTACAAATTTACAATCAATCCTATCCACCATTATATAATATATCTCAGCTTAAAATACCTATTATAATTTATTACGGTGGTCAAGATTGGCTTGCATCCTATAAAGATATTCATAAACTTATTAAACAAATTAATTATACTATTTCATCAATACATTATTTTCCACAATATAATCATTTAGATTTTGTTTGGGGTTTAAATGCTGGCAAATTATTATATCCATTAATTTTAAAACAACTTTCTAGAGTTTAATTAAAATCAACGACGACGACAACAACAACAACAACAACAAAAAGAGATATGCTTTTCTATATGTAAAAGTGTGTGTGTGTGTATGTTTGAGTGCTCGCCCATGCGTGCGTGCGCGCGTACGTACGTACGTACGTACGTATGCGGTACTGTTTAAACTGATTTCTATTCATTTAATTCCACATTATTTATTTATTTTTTAATGTTTCCTTGTCACTGATATCAGTATTTCATATTGATTGTTATCTGTCATGATCACCATGGTGATTTTCGCTTCCTTCTCTTCTTTTTTTTTATTTCGACATTTTGTCTGCAACACAACAATTCTATCATAGAAAAATTTGCCACAATTATTTTCAATTAATCATTATCATGATTAAACATTTCAAGTTTTAATGTCATATGTATTTTTCCTTTTTTTTCTTTTTCTTTTTGAGATTCGAAATTTGATGGAAAAGAAAACAATGTTTAGGAATAAAGATTTGATAATGTTGTTAAGTTTTAGAATTATTGATTTCTTTGAAATTATTGTGCTTGTGTTTGTGTTTATGCTTGTGTTGTGTTGTGTTGTGGTGTTCTGTGCTGTGCTGTGCTGTGCTATTTTCACTTATTTTTCATTTTGTATAAGTATTTACTTGTAAAATACTTTGTTTATCTTAATTATTTTATAGAAGTTTTTCACAATGTATAAATAACATCTTTTATAGTGAACATTTATGTTAAAACGTGAGATAATTGCTTAATTTTTTATAGGAATTTAATGAATATTCTCAGTAAAGGGGTTGTGTTGATTATTAAGTTTTTAATTGAGATCATGAACCGATTGATGTTAGACTACGGTTGAAAATCTGGAAGCACTAAACGGCCGTTTTGTCCTATTGTGATACTCCTCAAAATTTCTCATCCACGATCCCGCCTTGGGAAATTCGAATCCAAAGCCTTCGGTTTCGCGCGCGAATGCTTGACTTTTAGACTACTGAGTCGGCATTCAACGGTGCTAATGTCTAACCTCAACCAATATGCAAAATTGCGTGACTATCTTCTATTGTACTGAGGTAGATATCTGTCACTAACCGACACGCATTAGCTCCACTGATCAAAGCTTTTCACTAGAACTGCGAGAATTCCCTCACGAAGCTAGTCACTAGTGAGCACATGGTAATCATCAGTGTGGAGCTGTGGAGATTATTAAGTTTTTAATTGAGATCATGAACTGATTGATGTTAGACCATCATTGAAAACCTGGAAGTAAGCTAGACATTCACACTGTTGGATACCGACTCAGTGGTCTAGAGGTTAAGTGTTCGCACGTAAGACTGAAGGCCCTGGGTTCGAATCCCGCGAGCGAGATCGTGGATGCGCACTACTGAGGAGTCCCACAATAGGACAAAACGGTCGTTCAGTGCTTCCAGGTTTTTAATGGTGATCTAATATCAATCAGTTCATGATCTTAATCAAAAATATAATGAATAACATATAGGCTAAAATGATTGAATGGTGAAATGAAAATTTCATATTATTTTATATTAGAAGACATTGAATATGATGTAATTCTCATACCGAAATAGTTAATCATGACTATAAAGCTTGTTGTTAACTGATAATTTCCATAATTCAGTAGTATTAAAAAATCTATGTCAAATATAATGATAATTGACCTTAACACCATGAATGACAAAAGTAAATAAGTAAGGGGGTTAGAGACACTTGTATGATAGTTCAATCAAAAACAAAAAATAAATCAAAGTCAATATAGATAACTAGTACAGAAGTTGTAGCCAGAACAAATATGACCCATGCTGTGCATCAATATTTCTAAGCCAATAAATGCCCAATTTTTCAGGTTAGTGTTACGGTTCACTGATAGAACTATCCATTAGTGGCAGATGTTTTCTGATAAGATAACCATAGGCCCTTATATGCGATAATGAGTCTTAATTTACTTAGTTGAACCTCAAAGGATTCTTTCAGTAGTATAAAATCAACCTTACTCGTTCACTATCATATCATTCATAGTTTAAACCCAAAGCATGGGTTATTGTGTTTACTCAAAGAATTTTCACATCCATTGTACCTTACATTTATCCGAGTTAAATAATTATTTTCCATTGATTTGTGAATGCCTCCGTAACTTATTTATTATGTTGGTTCTGTAGTGTCTATTACGAATAAATGCTCACATGATTCATCTTATCTTTTGAAGAAGCCCTAGAAAATTAACATGTGACAGTTGAGTCACTTTACCTACATAATAACTGTTGTTTCATAATTCATATTACATTGTGACTTTCAGCACACACATTTTTATTTTCATGCTCTTGTATATCTCTACACTTATGTGCCTCGTATGTACATGTGTGTTTGTCTGTCGTTCATTATATTATCTAATCCCTATCTTTGCCACACTACACATTATCTATTTTGTGCCATATAACTGCTTGTAATGAGTGGGTATTATAATGAGTTGGCATGTTTGTCTTCTGTAGTCTACTTCGTTTATCTGATTACCTTTCTAGATCAACGAATGTATGAAATATACGTATCCAAAATCCATTCTCGTATTTAATTTATTTAATTCCGTTATCTTATCTGATTAAGTCAATAATTATATGCGAAGGTAGCTGGCATGTAAAGTATGCACAGTAAATATTAGCATACCATCAAATCGAGGTCAGACAAATGGAACGCTAAAATTCCAATGTTTGTAAATACATTTATACACAGGTCCAGTTTATTTAGAAGGTAACCCTGTTTTAATCTCTTCAGATGAATTTTCGATGAATAATTAATACAATTATTTCGAAAATAAATGCTTCATGCCATTTGTTTTAAACCTGTAATGGTCATACAATATAGTTCGAGCCAGAGAACCTCAAATTCTAGTATTTGTTATGGTAGGTTTCAATTTGGACTATTACTAGTTCGTAACAACAATTCAAGACTCCGAAATGTCATTTGGAAGATTTATTTTTAGAGTAACTTATAACTGAGAAGTAGAAAAGGGATTTGTGGCATCGACGATGTGCTGTGTGGCGTCGTCCTGTAAAATTGTGGTCTACTTCGGTATTAGTACTAATACAATGATAGACGTAATCCTAAAATTTTATATATATCATGATGTGGCTACATAATCTATAAGACATTACGTGGAAGTCACATCATATTCTATGCTGACTCGTCGCATCGTGACAATCAGCAACACAACTTCTAACACTTCGGAGGAACACGTTTTGGGCTGGGTATAGAATGATGTATTCAATACGAAAACATGAGGTTTCCTTATTTTTGTTACCATTATTATTAGTATTATTATTATTACTATTATTATTATTATTAATCATTATTATTATTATTATTCACAAACAGCTTGTGGGTACATAAGGGTTGTGAATAAACCATTTCGCGTTTCCTCGGATATGCAGTATTACACAAGTTTCAATAATGTTAGTATAATATTTGTCATATTAAAAAGGAACAGATTCTGTGCACTTGAGAAGAATATTGAATTGATGTTAAGGAAGGAAAGGAAAAAAATAAGGGAATAGAAACTCCTAACACTTCTGAAGAACACGTTTTGGGCTGGGTAGAGAGTGATATATTCAACACAAAAACACGAGGTTACATGGAGTAACCACACCCGCATGACCGAGTCATGCCATCTCGATTCATAGTCCCTGCGTCCACCATTACTGATATTCTCGAAGTGTTACATGTTAAATGTCAATCTTCTCAGTAATCGTGTGTTCATCTTCGAGAATCGTGTGTTTAGGAGCCGATACCACTTCACTCCCACTGTATCTCAAGTATAGACTCAAAATGATCACATCGCGACCAGATACCGCTGATAAGCACTGACTTTATACAGGATCCTTGCAACTTTCTGTAGCACATTGATTCGCTCCTGTGTGGTCATCAACGAAGATTGTTACGTAATGAACATAGGCTAGCAATTAATTGCACTCCATGGTCTGGCTCATGCAGCAGTGATCGCACTATTTTCTTTGTACCTTGTCTTACCATTATATTTCTGTAACAACTTCGTTTGTGTTGTACGGTAATCGAAACAGCCATAGTACCTTGATACGATGAAAATATAATGTACGTTAAGTAGAAATCGCAAGGTTTAACTTCGAAGTTAACTGGTTGGTCACACCATTTTCGTCCAACTTCAGTGGGTCTCTAATCATTCGATACAGATCATCTACGCTAGTGATCTACATTGGTGAAAAGGTCTAAAGAAACACAGCGTGTTATTAATTCACATATTTGCTTTAACTTGACCGATCGATTTTTACTTATGTTAACCGATTTTTCTAATCATCTGTTGAATAATGCTTACATGTATTGCTGTATTGTAAATATTGACTAGCACTCAACTTAATATCTTGATTGATGCCAATAACTGATTAACTCAATTTAAGTTAAGCTATGATGGTTCATCAACCAGCTTAAATAGCATTTACACGCTTCAGTGAAATATACTTGTTAAAACATCAACCACTAGGAAATATGGATCTTGATCGACATAAATACACATAAGCTGGTAATTAATGCAAGCAAGGATTAGATAGTTATCATCTAATTCTTCATCTTGTTTCTACACTTAACACTTTACTTTATTTCAAACCATGGACTGTCCCCTAATATCTTTTATTTCGACCACTGTCTGCTTAATTTCCGATTTTCGAGTTCCAGTGCCAAACAACGAAGATAGTATTCCAGAAACTTACGGTGGATCAAAGCTATAACGTTTCTGCAAACTTAAGCTTGTTTTAGATTGTTCATACGGTGAGAGCCAAGTATTTATTTGGGCTCTCAGATTTGCATTGAGTCAACCAAATGGAAAAGTCGAAAGCATCTCTCACATCCAGGAATTGGTAGCAACGCTGCGTGTTTATTCAGATTTCTTTCGGACCTATACTATTTGCCACAACTGTTTTTTTATGCGTCAAATACACCAGATGATCTAGATCTCGAAAATAATCCAGGAGAGTTTTACTTTTTGCTGGACGATCTACCATGATTTTGCTACTTCTAGGCATGCATATATTTTCACTTAGAACTAGCTGAATATATTTCATATGAACTACTCCCAAGACTGTTCATGTGACAAGGTATATTTCATGGCTTCAAATGACAACCTACTATGCGGAAGTGTGTTGTTTTCAGAAGAACTATATTAGATTCAACATTGATTTGACATTTCCTAATTCTGATCATCATTGCTACATAGTCACGAATTTACAAGGCTAACTATAGCAACCTCTATATTATAACCCGTCATATTTCTAACTAGTTCCTCGAGTCACGCCTTTTAAATATTTGTTGGCACAGCTTCTTTTTTAGTTGCCATATTCCTCATCAACATACAGGTTGGCGTGGCTTGTACATACGTTGTATCATATTATCTTGTGGGGCCCTTTATTTTGTCGTCATTTAGATCGGTCGATTTTGTCAAAGGGCTCTCCACTTTGATGGCCTGAGTTCTGACTCCAAGTAGATCATATGAATGATTGTTATTGAAATATATATATCGCCTGTCCTCGTATATTATCATCGACTTAAATCGCGTTAGTCAATATCGGAATTAAATAAGTCGAATAACGAGAATGGACTTTTGGATACATTTATTTTGTACATGAAGCGAATGGAATAGAACGAAGCAAAACGACGCGCAGTGGAGATGGCGGGTAAGCCAACTCCCCTTCAATCAAACGTTAATCAATATTAATAGTTACACAAAAGTAAGTTACAGACATGTGATGAGTAATGGGATAAGAAATGTACACATACCTACGCGCTCATATAAAAACAGCCAAGATTGATAAGCGAATAATTAATAAGGTTAGAATGTGACTCAAGTAGAATGAATAGATTGAGCTGTCCGAAAGCTAGAATAAGGTATTTGGGCTTACCATAGTAACTGACACTACGGTCTCTTTGCCATTTAAATTTAAGAATTACTTGAACCACCTTTAACATCTTTCACTAAACCCATCATATTCGTTATTGTTATGCGTATTTGGGTTCATTAATTGGACTATCATATTGGTTAGCTAAAAAGGTGTTTAACATAGGTCAGATAATAAAGTCACCACATGAATTTATTATCGTACTGTACTGGTACAACAATTAAACTATCACGTAGTTTAATTCACTTGATATTGTTTTACTTGAATCTTCCCATTGATGTTTAGGACTGCAAT